AAGCTTTTTTATTTCTCCTAAAAGTGATGACAGACAAAATCTGACACTCGTCATTGCATTCTGCGCTCAACTCAGAATCTTGAATGTGATTTTCTATAAGTCATCTCGAAATCTCGCCTGTAATGACATTCTCCACTTGACCACTTCCCTCTCGTAAGCACCGCCGGTCATCACTATCTCATGTCTTCTGGTTGGGTATTTTTCAGTCCATTTTCAAATCAAATGGCCACGAAGCAAGCTTAGAGTTTTTGGACAGTGACGAACAGTCATTGCTGGCCTTGCAAGGACCCCGTTCTGCGGCCGTATTGCAGTCATTCGTCGACGGGTCAACCGACCTGTCGACGCTATACTTCATGGACTCAATCACAGCCACGGTCTGTGGTGTGCCGGACTGTCGAGTCACCCGGTGCGGTTACACGGGCGAAGACGGTTTCGAAATATCCGTGCCCTCCGATCGGGTTGAGGCGATCGCTGAGTCGTTCGTCGCTCAGGACGACGTGAAATTGGCCGGRCTCGGCGCCAGAGACACTTTGAGGCACTGTAATCGACCGACTTAATCTGTTTTATTTTATCATGTCATTATATTTGATCATCATTATGGTCATCATCATCACCGCGTCACGACCATATAATTATGTAAATAACATGTACCTGATGATTCGATTTTCGTTAGCAGGTTAGAAGCTGGTATGTGTTTGCATGGAGCGGATATAAGCATCAACACGACACCCGTCGAAGCTGCGTTGATGTGGACCATAAGTATGAATAAATAAATATATAATAATAAGTTTTGTGTAATAAGTTCAAAATGTAATTTATGTGTACATTATTACAGCACCCCCGGTAATTAAAGTTGATCTGGGGGAGCAGTTCTTAAAAATATAAAAAAGAAAACAATATAATAATAAAGTAAAATATAGAATTAAATAAATATAAATATCGTTTAAAGATAAATATAGGAGTAAAAAAAATATTCCGTTTTAAAGTTTCACCTTATAACAAGAATAAATGAATGTAAAATTTAATAGATTAATAAATAGTTAACAGAATATTAAAGTAAAACTGATTTCGTAATAATCCGTATAAATGATCTATAACCTCTCGTTTAGTGTCTTCTCTTTATACATCGTCCCGTTTAGGGACGTTGCACAGAGGGGTGTATTAATTTTTTTATTTTCACAACGAATAATTTTAGTTACCTATTGATTTCCTCTCAGGTCGCAAGAGAAGGGATGAACGACGGTTTCCCGGTGCTACTGTGATTCTGAAACAACTCAGCGACGGAGTGCAACGTAAAAGGGTAGGTCTTGTTCAAAAAGCGCACGGTGCTCCGGTCAGGGGTGGAGCAGTCTTATTTGATGTAGCGAACGGCGAAAAAATCGGTTCGGTAACTAGCGGATGTCCGTCCCCGACATTATCCCAGAACATAGCCATGGGATATGTGGACAGCAAATTCGCCAAAAACGGAACCGAAATACAAACGGAGGTCAGAGGGCAGAAGATACCTATGGTCGTCACAAAAATGCCGTTTGTGAAACCAAATTATTATTCTAAGCCCAAACCCAAATAATAAAAATTTTAATATCTTATTAAATATTTAATTCACAATAATATATATCAGCATTAGATTATTATCCATCATCACAGAACACTACGTCGACGTTGACATAGACGAGAAATATGATCTAAAAAAAAAAGATAAAATGGAATAATTAATTAAAGTGGATAATAAAAGTACCTTTACGTAGGTTGAATTTCAAAATATGTTCATACTTTTTATTCTTCCTTGTTTTGTACATTCGTTTTTTTCTAGAAATCGAATATTTAGCTTTTGAATTATCTATTATTCGTTTTAATTTTCCATTTTTTTTATAAAGTTTACTGCAGTTATGTTTAAGTTCATTGATTCTGTGTTTAAACCCTTCAATCATATTATGCATTTCCACTCTCCACCTAAAATTTTGTTTAGAGATTAAGTAAATTTAATTTGAAATTTTTATATTATTTTTATTGATATTAATTAATAATTAGGTAAGTTGGTAAGTATCTATATAACTACCAAGTTATTTAACCGTGTATAAATTACTATTTGTGATTTCCACTTTTCCAAAAAATAAATTATAGTAATTATTAATTGTAAGTATCTCCCAAAAATCGTTTTATTAATATGTTTATCTAAATATAAATTATCTTACATCTCCACCATTTGTTTTTGGGCTTCTAC